CCAGATAATTAAAAGAGGAGTTTATAATGTGAGTGGTGACAATAAAGAGGACAACTTTATTATGTCCGCTGCTTGGAAGGATCTATTTATAAATGATTCCAAGGAAGATGAGAGAGGGCCCGTTGCTCGTTAATAATTCCTTCAGAGGCCAAGCGATGGATGCGGTACCCATATTTTGGTATAAAATACGCCGAATTTCTCCCAAGCCTAATAAGCCCGCTTGGCAGCGCGGGTGGTCCCGCGATATACGATCTTCTCATTTGGAGGCCCGGCGAGTAGAGCTGGCATCCTCAGACCTACAAATGAGCTGCTTGCTGAACCCGGCCCGTCGTCACGTTTCTAATTTATCCTCTCTTTCGAAAATAACCCGCCTAACTACACAATCCTAGGGTGAACATGCAAGTGTTCTCAAAGGATGAACCTTCAATTATATAAATTTTCTTTTTTCTGGGAAGTTGTATAATATCATTAGTTATTTGGCAATAATTACTTCCAATTAGCAACAATTGAATATATTTCTTGTATCATCAAAGTTACATGTTTACAAGTTTACGTTTCGGGATATTTACTCCCATCTTCAGAACCACAATCCCAATGATCTTGTGGATGCAAGGCTTAAAAATAATGTGCTCCATCGTCAGTTTCTAGTTCATGTTATAAAAATCTAGGCATATAACATCTAGAGTAACATTTTGCTTTTAGACTAATAATTGGGTGTCTCCCAACTGGGTGTCTGAGCAACATTCTTGCAGTTACATATTAGCTTATTATTATAGAGATATTACTGTATTGTTTTAGATAGGAGAAACCTAACTAAGCCCAATCGAAAAATTAGAAGAGTTAAATGCAAAAGAATATTGGTTATAAAAATTCTTTTATTGTCTTAAGGATAGAAGAGTATGCTGTGTATATAGCAACCCAATATAATTGGGCAGCAATCTTTTATATTTTATATATTATGAAAATAAAGTGTTTCTCTCTAGTAACTAAATTATTAAGTATTAGTAACTATTTTTTCCTTAATTTTTATTCAATTTTAGTATATGTACCGCCGAAGCTTTTTATTTATTTATTTTTAGGTTATTTCATGCTTAATTATTCCATATATATTATTTTTCTGTATAATTTATTTTATTTATTGTACATAAAGTGTGAATGTGATCTATGAACACTATTATAAATGTCCTTGAGACAGACTGCAATATTTTCAATAAATAAGTTTAAAAAAAAAAATTATTCAAAATATTGATTTTTTTTTTACCATTCTTGATATTGGTCTTACAACAGTTAGGCTTTCTTGGTCTCGGTCTGCAAAGTGCAAGACCAAGACCTATTTAGTATAAGTAGTGATACCAATAATAATCTTTACTTATGCAACTCCCTCAGGCGAAACCACTTCAACAAGATTTGTTACTATTTTATCAAATCTTCTTCTACTATAATTATATATTTTATTTATTTCCAAAAATGTAATGAGTAAGTAATGGTAAAAAAAGTTTCTTCTCAAATTTTGCACAGCATGAAACAACAATGTCCCTCACCCCAAAATTTCTCTATACACTTTTTTTTTTATTTTCCATCCCCTCCTTTTCATACTACCTGATAGCGCAACACTTTTTTTTTCTATTCCTATTTGAATACAAGGCCCCATGATAAGCCAAGACTATCTCACAAGGAGGAGAAAATACACTTACACGTTTGCTTCCTAAAAAAGCCTTTTCACCTCAGATATTTTTTCCCATAGGCTACTCACAATCAAGTAACTCTTTTGAAAAAGGTATGCTAGAAACAAAAAAAAGACGAGCTCCCGGTTGCCGAAAAGTGGTTAGGAACCTTGAGCTACGACGTTCGGATTCCTATCGGAGGGGACTTGGGGTTTTTTCATTTTTTAAATGAATTCAACTCCGTTTTGAAAATCATTTCTTATATTTTTAATATTGAATATGGCTTGAGTATAAAATTAAAGACTAATAATTTTTGTAAGGTTCGACTATCTTCATATGATAGTAAAATGATTTGGTATATGAAATTACTCGTCTAACTAAACCGAATGAAATTGCACATGCAACAAATTTCAAGTATATCAAAGTATTGAATATCGGTAGTGTTAACGGAACTGTTAAATTATTAACACTTTGATTCGCTATCAAATCAACGTACAATGTAATAAAACACTTTATATCTTTAGTTTTCAAACAGTTTATATCGACCAGTGTTATCTTAAAACCTATATTCTAATGATAGAATATTATCAGTCTAAATTGATTTCGAAATATGGCAATGTCATCAGTCGTCTGGTTATGAAATAATTTCTAGGAGCAGCCGATTAATATTGGATCTTTTTTAGCTAAAAATATATTTATTGAAACAAACGAAGGTATAAAATTGTTAATGTTGTATTAGCAATGGTGATAAAGATTTTGAGAATATGTTAAGAATAAGACAGTGTTTAAAAAAAAATCTAACTTAAACATCACTTTTCAATATAAATAAATAAATAAGAAATTAAAACTTTAATATTTTTATTTTTTTTTGGCCTTCTGATTTTAAACAAAATCTTATTCGGCTAATAGATATACAATTATTTGCTGAAAACGCTATAAGAAGAAAATAATTAATAAAAATTCGAGACAAAAGGGTTCGAATGGGTAGATAATTGGATTTTCTGATACATTAGCCGTGGTTCGACCCTGGGATCGAGAAACCCTCCTGTGCTAAACTCAGCCTCTATGAAGTGGGTAATCTAAATTAAAAAAATAATTAAGGGAAAATATTGTGCATGGATTGAGCGTTATCGCAGTCTTTCAATATTATAAAAAAAATCACTTATTCACCTAGAAAATATTTAAACATCTACTTATATATTCATAAAATTAATTTTTTATGGTTTTTTGAAAAACATCATTGTGTATCTTTCCAACAATTATTTCTGGTTTCCGTAAAAAAAATAATTAAATTTGATAAAATAACCTCATAGTGGAAAATGAAGTCAGAAAATGAAAAAGAATTCCATAAATAAAGTAAAAAATAAATAAATGAAGGGAGGTCTTAAGAAACCAGAAATCAGAATTCCAAATGAACCCTATTCAAATAGGGTTGCGAGGAACCAAAAGTTTCACACAATGCCACAAGGACGACACTGTTCCCATGGGGCCTTTAGAATAAGGCACCTACAATTATTCATGCCGTTCTGACATTAGTAATACTTGTTCAAATTTATTTATTATTTTTGTCTGATAAATATAAAAATTAATATTTAATAAAATAAAATAATATTCTAATATTAATAAAAAAAATTATATCCCTTTTGGATTTCGGTAAAATCTAGTAAAAAAAAATATCGCATTTTTTACTATTTTCCTGGGGAAAAAAACGATACTTGGACTAGAATCTATACACTGTGAATCACTGCTAATATTACTTATAAAATAATTTTATTCTGGTACTGTATTACCATAAGAATAATGAAAATTAAATATGAAATGTAAATAATATGAAGAATAATATAAATATATATACAAATAATCAAATAAATAAAAATAAAATAGTTCCTATCAATTTACTGTTAGTAAGCAATCTTAATTATATAACCTAAAAATTCTTACGAGCTTGCGGAAGTTTGAATGTGAAGTAGGTGGTGGAACAAGAGTTGTTTGGAGAAATTTGTGGATGATGATTGACGTATTGGAAATAGGTAAGGAGTTCAAAAAGGAGGTAGGACGAATGAATAAGAATTTACTGCAGAAAGTGATTTTGTGGATGGAGATATATAAATCTATAGGTTGATATCTAGTACTAAGATGCACTGAAAACGGTTTCAATAAAAGATTAATAAATTATTATGAATCCTTCTTACTATTAGATTTTTAAAAACTGAAAAGCTTTTATTATTAGAATAAGCCCATATTTTATTTTTTTTCGTTATTCCATAATTTACCATGTTTCCTTCTTGACTATTTAATTTATTTCTTATTGTTTATAATTTAGGTCAAATTCATGATGTAGCTACAGTTCACTCTCTATATTTTAGAAAACAGTATATTTTTGAAGGCGAATAAAATTTATTATCAACCAATTTGTTTGTTACTCTATAACACAATCGTAATATCAATGAATTAACATATCAACATAACTCCTATTTTATTCGGACGGTCTTCTATTGGAAGAAAACTTAAGTAGTAGTCGGCCTACTGTCCTTGAACAGCCTTGGATCCTAGATCACAACTGATTTGATACTGTCCCATGATTTTCGAGTGTTTAAACGTAGAGAATATAATCGAGCTACAATAACCATTGTTTGTTGCAACGTGAAGCATGGTAACCTTCTACAGGCTCTCGCCTTAAAATCAATAAGTGTTTACATGAAGAAAACGTCGCGCAGCCAAAGATCTTTATGGTCTTACTTATTATATATATATATATATATATATATATATATATATATATATATATATATATATATTAAAAAGGATATATACTACAATAAAATAAATATTTTTTTATTCAATTATATTATCTTATCTTATCATCATGGATGTGTAGGTACTTGCATATTTCAATTTATCATACCATATATATAGGAAGTAGGAAATCCTCATACTTGAAAAATAATAATACATATATGCTTAAAAATTTTTCATTTTTTTCTCATTCCTTCTTTCTGCATATATGTGACCTATCCTTTTTGAACTGCTCACTAATATGTTGGAGACACATGGATTTACAGTTTGGATTGTTTCATTCATAATGTCTGTTTTCGAACTCTATGCTGATTTCATTAATTAAAAATAAAATGCATGTACAGACGCACCACTAGATTTTATGTTAAAAAATGAATTTTTTTTTTTTGTTTATTTTTTTTTATTCACACCTGTCATAATGGTAATGACAACCAGTGAATGTGAGGATTATTTTTTTAAAAACATTATTTAAACAAAGTGCAAATGATCTATTCAATAATCGATTTTATCCATATGTCACGTATTTTGTATCTGTTATAGGCGGTGGTATAAATAATGTAACTGCTTCGTACAATTGAGGATGACCAGTAGTTGTGTATATGGTGCACCTTGAAAATAAAAAGATAGGATATGAAAAATAAATGTTTTGTCGCCGCATACACTCTAACATATATTTCCTTAGAATAAACATATATATTCACCAGAGCTCACGTTAAATATTTAAACAAATGAGGACCGTAAGGTGGAAACGTTTATGCCAGGACAGAAGTTGGACAGAGGTCCTGCCATTTTGTCCTTATCACCGGCGGATGTCCAGAGTGTCGGATCCTTCCATCCTGAGCTAGTTTTATTTTTAGCTTTCTCTCCCCCCCCCTCTATTTATCAGCTTCTTTATATTCATTTATTTCGGGTCCTCCTTCCCACCCACTCTTTTACGGATCAGCTCCTTTACATCTTTTTTCTATTTTCTACCTCTCAGAGGAGTATGTCGCCTTTCGTTTTAAATTCTCCGCCTCTTGTATCTCGCCTTCTCGGTTGTGTTGTTTTGTTTTTCTTATTTACCGCCGGTGCCTCGATCCTCTGAGAGCAGTGAGGTCTTAGAGAAAATATTCCACAAGCTGATTTACCATACTCTTAGCAAATGGGAGTGGTAACCTTGGAGGAAATTTGCATCAAATCCTGAAGGAAAAGCTTAGCGTAAAAAAAAAAAAATATATAATACAATAAAAACTGCCAGCTCATCTTTATTTTTCTATTCCGCAATGTATTTCAATATTTGTCTCTAATAAATAAATTATATAAAACATTATTTTAAAAAGTAGTTGACCCGTAATCCACAAGTGCATCACCAAATATTTCATAAATCCACTTCAAAATACGTTTAAAAGACAGTTAAAATAATATATTAAAATTTTCTAGATTTATTCTTCTATATTTGGTAAAACATTCAGCTACAGTTGACAAAAAGTGTGCCATCAAGAGCAATTAATGACACCAAGATAATTTAAATCAACGTTGCACATCTATAAAAAAGAGACACTGAAAGATACAGAGATAAACTTAAAATAACATTCCATAAAATTTGAAAAAAAAAAAAGAGCGAGATTTTGAAAATATTAATGAATTCGGGTTAAATATCCAATCCGTATCGTTCCAATCTTTCATGTAAAAATTTAATTTTTTTATCTTGATAAAAAACGATAAACTCTTGTTCTGTGAAAGAATCAATGAAACTTTTGCAAAAAAAAGTCATTTTTTTTGTTTTTTTAAAGCAAATATAGAAGGTTTATATCCAAATATAATTAATTATTGTGTTATATTTGTTTTCAGTGTGATAATGATTATGTATCTTTTAAAAAAAGTATTTATATTCAGCCTAACATTTTATTATACAGGTTGTCTCAGTTTTTGATAGGCTAACTCTAAGGACTGATTCTAGAAAAAACATTTTTAAAAAACGTTAACCGATGCATGGGCCAATCCCGAAGGGAAATGAAGACAAGACTAATTTTGTGTTTTTCTTAAGTTTTTATAAAATAAGAAGAAATAGCTCAAAAACTGTTTAAGATAATCAACTCGCATGTATACCATCGTAAAGCACACACATTTTTTTTTTTTATAAAACATTGGTTAAATTTACTAAGGTCAATGATAAAAGAGACTTTCAGCAGGTCGCTGTAATACGCTGCACACGTATGGGTGATACTAGCGGATCGAGGATTCAATTTAGGGGAGGGAGGTGGGCTTTAGCCCGAAAGATATTTTTTCATATACATATAAGGATAATTACTTTGAAAAAAAAGAAAGAAATTAACTACCTATATGAAATGGTGCTTAAGTGGTTCTTGAAGTCATATTAAATGTAAATAACGAACAAGAATACTTTAAGAGATATTTTTAAATTTTTGTTTCTGTAAAACATGGTTGTATTTTCCATTTTGGGGGGCTTCAATCCGAAAGCCTCCTCCCTCTCCCCCTGATGGGTGCTGTAACTGCAGCTGTACAGCCGCCGTATTAGACCTCCTGAAAATCCCTTTCATCATTAACTTTAGTAAATTTAATCACTGATTTTTCAAAAACATTGTGTATGCTTTACGATAGTGAACAAAGAATTAAATTATCTACAACCGATTTTGAGCAATTCCTTCTTATTCAATAAAAACCATGATTACCTTAAGAAAAACACAAAATTAGTCTTGACTACTTTTCTCAGTCTAAATCTGCCTATGCATCAAATAAATTTTGTCTAGAAACACTCCCCACAGTTTGGACATTAAGAATTGGGACATTCATGTTTACTACCTGCTAAATGTGTAAATTGCAGTATTCTCTGTTTGGCGAATTCAAGAACAATGAGGCTACAGACATTAACGACTTCGCTGCTATTTTTCAGAATCAGATCAGAGCTTCAACAAATAAATAAACTGTGGAACAATATGCCATAATATAATTATACCTATTTTGAACACGAAGACTTATTGGGAGAATGAATTGCTAACCAATGCTCGCTTTTTTGATTCCATTATTAACTGCAAATTCAAACTTTCGTTCTTTCAATATAAATGTAGGCCCAACAAATTAGTTTCATTAAATCACCTAATTAGAGTGAAGGGTGGTTGTTCTTCAACTTTCATATCAAACATAACCCATTTGTTTTTCTCCTTTCTAATTCCTTAAATTCTATGAATGTCTGCTCTAAATTTTAAAAGGCCAAAGAAAGAACCAAACTAGGTAAAAAACCATTGGTATTTGTTTTTGAAGTTTTCTTAAAAGTTTACCTTTTATCAGTTCATTAGTGTGGTGTACATTTGGGGACAGACGTCAGTGTATTTCTTCGCATGAATATTAAAATACAGAGAGTGGAAGATAAGATACTCAAAAAAGGTTGAGGTATTAGACTCACTTTTCAGAAAATGTGAAACCTCTTTCGATATCTGCCTTGAGAATAATTAGTGGTTCCGTTTAGCATTATGATAATTTTAGTAATAATACCGTGTTAGTAGTTCAACAGTATACAATTTGGGGGGAAATGCAACATATATTCTGGTTTTATTTTCGTTTGATTCAATATTATCCCCAACAACAATTAAAAAAAAAATTTCGTAATCACAGGACCAGGATGATCATCGAAACTCGACGTTATAATCTGTCTTTTTGTTTCAAAATGATCCCAAGTTTAGGGGATCATATCTCGGTCATTTATGAAGACGGATGTAAGACATAAAGTGCATTAGAATGATTCTACTAATGTATTAACACAAAGTAACATTACATTCCTACCATATACCTATCTTTATTTTTAATCAGGATATTTAATGATTTGTTGAAATATAAATACACCTAGTAAATGTGAACATATGAATATGATGATATGGAAAGACTCGTTGAGAAACTAATCATTAGTAGCACTCTAAATATATATATACTGTATTCAGTAGTATAGACCCCTTTTTATCAAATTATTAACATATGTACAAAATTTTGTGAATTGCTTCATCTCATCGTAACCTACAAACATTTTATTTACGAAAATTCTCGGAATTGGAGCGTTTTCAATCAATAGATGGGTAAACTTTGTATTTTTAATTAGGTACTAAAAACTCATGAAAACCCATTTACATTATTATTAGATAATATGTTCATAAAATTAAAGAAAAAAAAAAGTGGCCTTCAAAAATATTGGGCCGTTTGGCTTATATAACCTCGTTATTTTGACATTTCGAGGGAGGAGGTCAGGCCAAACGGACCAATATTTTTGTAGGCCACGTTTTTTTTTTCTACTTTGTTATCATACTATGCTACGATTCGAGTAAAAAACCAAATGGGCATTCATGAGTTTTAAGTTACTAATTAAATAGAAAGTTATATGAATGAGTCTCTCACATCTGAAGTACTCAGTGCCCTTAATTGAGGCAAAATACACTTTTTTCTTACTAAGATAATATTAAAAAAAAAATTAAATAGAAAAAGTTAGCCCATCTTCAAATAGAGAACGGCCAAATTCCGAGAATTTTCGTAAATAAAATATTCATATGTTAATATGAGGTGAAGCTATTTGCGAAGTTTTAGGTAGGAGTTAATTATTTAATAAAAAGGGGTCTGCTGCACGGACTGTTATGAGACCGAAGAAGAAACAAGGTTAGAAACGAGAGGGTTCGGGTGGTTCTGAAGTTTATCATGGAAGGATAAGTATCTAGATTGGGCCAAGTCGGATACATAAGAAACATTAGTGGTCGTTATGGATGGTTTTCTTTGTGACAAAGTAAGGAGCATTGTGAATTTTATTTGGATTGTAAGGATTGGGTACGAGTGAAAATCGATGGTATAGTGAAATTCCAAAGCCCAACTCCGTAAGTTCAAAAAGGTCTTATTATAGCCATGTATTGACTTTTGTATTTAATTAGAAGTTAAGAGCGTATTCAACTAACTGCTGAAAATAGTCGGAAACGTCGAGCAGTTTCTTGTCGTTTCAGTCTGGTATGAGGATTCCAAGTTAAGATGTTAACTTAAGATGCTTGTCCAGGTAAAGTCCTGTATTTGTCTTAAATATGTAGTCAAATTGTCGTATGACTTTTCTTATTTATATTGCAAAATAATTCCGATTTTTTTTTATTCAGGATTTTATAATAGAAAAGAAATAATAAACCATTGTGAAATAATTTGCGTTTTTTTTTCTAAGAATTTTACTGTACAATGCTTAATGGATTTGATTGATTTGCGGACTTATGCAATTAAAAAACAAACAGGTGATATTATTGCTATTAAGACGTGCATTATTGCAATCTATTATTGAACGCAATTGAGTTTTATTGGGACAATAATCGCGGTTGGTAATTAAAATATTTCTCATAAATATGATGGAAAAAATAATTCAAAAATCTTAAATAATATAGGTGATGTAATCTTCAATGTTTTTAAATTCATTGAAAAAAAAAATCTTGAATAGATATTAGTCAATGAAAATACTATGATGTCAATAAAATGATTTTTTTTTCTCTTTTTAATCACTCGCACACTCTTGTTTTTATAGTGGTAGTAGTGTAGTTGTAAGAACGTGCCTTAGTGAGGGAATGGTCGTAAAAGGGGGTTTTATTGCTGGGTCAGAACTAAATAGCTCCTCGTCGGGTCAAGGTCGTCTATATTTATTTACTCTGATATTTTTGTTTTATTGGGCTCATGTGTGTGTATATA